ATATTTTATTTATATTTTAAAAGTTTGAAAATATGAGTTTCAACTTTGAAACATTTATCATCAATTGTATTCAAACAAAATGTTTCAGCTTAACCAAACTGATGGTTTGGGGGTTACTTTTGTTTGAAAACTTTAAGTATTTATACTCTGTCTGGATTTGGAAGAGACTTCAAATGTAAAATGCTTATATGACAGGAAAACATTTCCCTACGTATCTCTAGTGGTTGGTGGTCTCTCCAGAGGACAGTAAAGCACCAGTAATAAAATAACTATTATTTTGAATATAGAAGTAATGACAAATCAGAATGAGTGGTGTGACTAATTAAGGGTTAGAGAAGCTGATTTATAATTTAAACTGGGAATTCAGTAAGCTCTCTGGTTACAAGAACAGTTTGACTATTATGCCTGTTTTTAAAGGATGGATGAACAATCTGTGGGTTATGGACAATTTCCTCAGCAGCTGTTCTTTATTTATCATTTTCAGATTTATTTGCTTGCTAAATAAAAATATAATGGTTTATCATATAATTGAGATGAAAGCACTAATTATGATGGAACAGCAATGCCTTCAGGGAAAGGGGGACAAAAAATGCAGAGAGGACTAATTTATATAATACAATAATAGCTTTCTTACTGCATCTTTCACTTAACGAAACTGAAACTACATCTCCCTGAAGCTAGGATTTCTGTAATTTCTGTCCCCAGGACTGCATTTATAGATCAAGTGTTACAGAAGTTTGTTCTTCAGGAAATTGTACTTCAGTCTTTTCTATTCTAGAATACTATTATTTACTTTTACTATTGTTGTTCCACCAATTAGTGCTTAGGAAAGAATCTGTCCCTGACTCTGTGGATGCTGTTATTTCTGCCTGAGTGAGGGAAAAGAATCTACATCAGCAGAACTGCTGCAAAAACTTTCATGTCTGTGCTTGCCTTCTAGAATACAAGTCTGCTTACTTAAAATGCAATGATCCTTCCACTGTTCTCATTTTCTGGAGTTCATTTAGAAGATCTTCTTGGGCAGGTATCTTGCAATGCTTTGAGATAAAACAGCATGTCTTATCTCTTAGGCCTGTAGGTTAACGACTTGGATCAGGTTTTCTAGGCTAAGAATGGAAAGTTACTCAGGGCTGACTTCATCTCCGGTGTAGAGACAGCTGGAAAAGGTCAGCCATTATCACTAGACAGGCCCCCACTTGCCTATCCTAGGTGCTGCAGAGCTGGCATAAAAGATGTAGCTGTTTTGCTGTTTCTCATCCTCTGTTGTGGGCATCACTGGGTTTGTGAGCTGGCTAGGTAGATGAGTTAGCTGTGTGCCATTAGACTGTGGAGTCACCTCGGTGGTGATGCTCAGGTACAGCTCAGTTACTTCCTTCTGCTCTGTGTATGTCTCTGCTATAGAGGTTTAATATGGTTTAGAATTAGTTTTCAGTATCTCATCTATCAAAGGGTTTGTAAACTCCTTTGTGGTTTTCCAGTAATGTTTTTATTCCAGGATCTATTAATCATGTCAGAATACCTGATTTCTCTGTTTACTTGACTCTTTCTGTGAATGAGTCAGAGGTAAGCTTGTTAAATTTCATTTGTCTCTCTGAGCAGCTACAGTATGAATTTACATGGGTATAGGATGTATATGGGATTTGGTTGATTGAAGGTAGTATAAGATTTGTTTTGCTTTATCAAAGGGATGTCCAGTCTTCTGAAAGTATTGACTATGGTCAGCTATTTATTGAACCAGATGCTGATGTGTTTGAAACGATAAACTGGGTACCATCCAGTAGAGAGAAATTGTGTCTGGTTTGCTCCTCAGGTTTCAGACCAGAATTGCATTAGAAACTTGTCCCTAGCATATAACAAAAATACCAGAGGTGGCTGTAAGGATAACTAGGCTATTTGGTTTTGTTCTCCTTACAATGCCAAAAAAGAGAGAGGGTTAAACACCTCTCTATTGCTTCATTCAATTGCTCTATTTCAGTGCAGAATATTCCATTTCAAAACAGAGCTTTGGATATATGTAGGTTTGATTTTACATTCTTTATGAGACAAAATTTTGAACGATTAAAAGTGCCCTGTCTAATTTTAAATTTATAGTTCGGCTTTAAAATTATTTCTTTTCTGTCTGGCGTGCCATGGGAGGCACATGACTTCATACAATCATGTCTCTAGGTGCTTAGTTTAGCATTTAAATCAACATGCCAAGAGTTTACACCTTCAAAATTGCAAACTGTGGGAGATAAGTCTTAGATGATCAAGGTAATCACTCTCCATGCATAAAGGTGCTCATCTGTTAATGCACACTAATATTTTCTCTGCAAAGTAGACAAGCTGCAAAGAAAATAGTTTCATATATTCAGAGCTTTTTACAGTTTTAAGGACTTGCTGCAGGGAAGATCTTTGTCACATTAGAACAGTGTTGGAAGTCATGAGCCAGAAAAGTTATTCCTGATCTCTGAATGCCTTCTATATAATCACAACAGACAAATTCAACCCTGTGCTATTTGCTCTGTGATTTTTCTGAGCAGGAAGTCATGAAGTACTTATAGCCTGACTAGATATGAATTAATCTACAACTGAGAATATTTACTTTAACTTTGATTAAAAGACCAAAGCATTTGTTCTTCAAACTGATTCCAACGCAACAAAGGCTGGAATATATGCCACATGCTTGATTTAATCATGTAAGTGTTTCTGTTAACTTCAGGGAGAGTAGTTAGTGCTTAAAATTGTGTTCCTGTTCAAATTTGTTGTTGTTTCAAAGCTTGCACATGTAATACTTCCCTTAGTTCCCTTTAAATTGCCAAACTGGTAAGAACAGCAACTCCAACAGTCATGAATATTAAGTTACTTAGGGCACTCAGGCATCTGTTCAGACTTCAGACTGCAAAACTTCTTAGCTCATACTAAAATAATAACACTAATAATTACAGCCTCATTGTTCTTTGACAGAAACCCTTTGAAAATCTTATCAGCAAGAATTCTTTTTATCTCAACAAAAACAGTGTACAGGTCCCCTGCTCTTAACCCTGGGATGCTTTAAGAAGCATTTCATCTTGTCGTATTGCAGTATAATTGACAAGTAAAAGGTTTTTTTGCTTCATAAAGCTTTTAAAAGCAGCACAAACAATATTTGCCTATATAGTATGAACCCTTTCCAAATGATCATTGCCATTATATCTCTTTAGACTTCTAGAATTTGTGCAATACAAAATGCAAGATCATATCTATCTAAAGCCAGAGTTCTGTTCGAACGTATCTATCTAAATCCAAAGTTCTGTTTGAACTTGGACATCCAAAACTGAAATGGAGAAGTCTTAAAATGTCTTTCAAAGCATGGTCTGGGCTCATCCCGACTTGAGTTACAAAATAGAAACACACTTCCTAAGGTGAAAATTTCAAGCCCTGCAGCACTTACTAACAGCATACTGGGGCATTGCATTAATATCAATGGACAGAGGAAAGAGGAACAGTCTATAGGGTAATAAAAGATCTCATTTTCTAGTAGTTGGATTCTCTGTCCCAGCACAGTATCAGCTGGGTCTGATTTTTCCTTTGTGATATCCCTAGTAACAATTGTCTTAGAGTGATTCATACAAGAATAGACTAAATGACTGAATGGACTGTAGAGTTCACTTTTCTCACCATCAGAGGAGGAAAATACAGGCATATTCACTGCCAGAAGAACAAATTTCCTGCACTCCAAGTGAGAAATAGCTGATGTAGCATGGAACATACATACTCATTAGTATCAGTATGACCCGAACACTTTCATGCCTCATTTGTACCAACGATTCTTTGGCTGCAAACTGTCTTTTCATTTCTTTCTCATTTCTCTCTTCTTACTTGATCTCTCCTTTTGCTTCTGTACTTCTGTTACTTCTTCCTTTTATTGTCTCTTCCATTCCCCTTTTTGTTCACCTAAAACTAAAAAGACCTTGCTCTCAGCATTTTTCAGGCAAATTGAGTTTGTTTTGTGCAAACTGTACAATCTCTGACTTTCAGGGTCTCCTACAAATCCCAAAGTACCTCTAGCTCTTACTTCCTTAGATTAGTCCACAGAATGAGTCCAAAGCCTCAGGAAACAGCAGCTGTTCAAGCATTGGAACTATACTGTACTCCAGGATCAACCCTTTTCTTACCAATAGTTCATCAGTACTCTTCTTTCCCCTCTTGTTCTGCAGGCCAGTGCATGTCATAATACTGGCCTTTCAACTACAGTCTGTTTGGATACTGAAGAGCTATAAAGGCAGTGATGAGTTGGAAAAAGTCCTTACTGTGGTCAGGTCAATTAAGGCTTATTTGTACCCTTGGACCCTGACAACTATATGGACAAATACTGTTTGTGCTGCTTTTAATGGCATTATGAAGCACAAAAAAGCTTTCACTTGTCAATAATACTGCAATTGAACAAGAAGAGATTCTTCTTAAAGCATCCCAGGGTTAAGAGCAGGGGACTTGTACATTGTGTTTTTGTTGAGATAAAAAGAATTCTTGCTGACAAGATTTTCAAAGGGTTTCTGTCAAAGAACAATGAGGCTGGAATTGTTAGTGTTATTATTTTAGTATGAGCTAAGAAGTTCTGCAGTCTGAAGTCTGAGCAGATGCCCGAGTGCTATATTTGAAAAAGTGCCATTAAACATTTGTAACATTAACGTGATATTAAACAATGCAACATTATGTAACATTTAAACATTTGAAAAATTATTTCCATAGAAAAATGTTGATTCTCTAATGTTTGTCTGTACATGCAGCAAAATTGGATGGTGTTATAAATTTAATATCAATTGTGTGAGGCAAGAGTAATTCTAAGGCAAAATGCTAACAGAAGAAATAAACATTTCATATAGGCTTTGGTCCTGTAGATATTCAGCTGAGTATTTAAATATCACCTGATAATCTTTACTGGGGGGAAAATGCAGAAATTTTTCTCATGGCTTTTGGAGAATTTTTAGAGAGGCTTTGTCTTCATAGTTCTTTCATTTGAGTTTTATAGATCTATTTTCCCCATGCCGTTCTTAACTGACTTTCTAGACAGATGAAATTAAGTATGTTTGGCCTTGGTAACTAGAAAGACATATGTCTATGCAGTCTGCCTGGTTTGAAGGTATCTGGTTTGGTCCTCTTCCTAGCACACACCTTAAGTCAATCACACACACTTTTTACTCTTTATTTTTTCATTCATGATCAAAATATGACAACAGAATTATAGATATCAATGAGATCCCAGTCAGGAAATTCTTGTTACTCTGACCCTTCTTCCTACAGGTACACAAACTGACTTCCTATAGTGTTATCAACAATTAATAATTTGAATTGGGAAAGAAACAATTGCTGATGGGTTCTTCTTTCCCAGAAAGGTCAAACTGAATTCAGTTGGAGAAAAAAATTAAATTACTTTGACTATGCTAACTTGCTGGTTTCTACATTCTTAGGATGGTGAATATAGATTACCTAATTTCCCTTCCCCATATACTCTCTTTTGGAATGTGAAAAGACAGAAGTCCAGCCCTAATCCTCAGTAAAGATATAATTGGCATGCTGGGATTTTTGAAAGTCATAATTCATCTTTCTTCTTCAGGATGATTTTCCTTACAAGTTCTGTAACATAAGGTCTTATTTCTTCAATAGAGACAGTAGAGTCCCAGGCCTTTACTACTTTCCCATTGGGGTCCACCAGGTATTTCCAGAAGTTCCAGGTTGGTTCTTCTCCTGTAGAATCTATGGGCAAAGAAAAAGTGGAAACTTATAAAAGAAAACCATGTTAGCAAATTCCTGACATTTGTTCATGTCAATTTGATGATTATCCTCTCAGAGGAAGAAGGAATGTAAAATTAAGGAGTTCAGACTGAATGATAAGATAAATTTTCTGACAGATTTGAAGCTTTAACTAGACAGTGGGCCCCTGAAGACGAATGGGAACAGCCAAGCTTGAGCCAGACAGACACCTATAATTGGTGTTAAACTGTGTGTATGAATATGTGTGTGTCTCTGTGCTATATAGATAAATCTGAAACAGTTGAACATTGATAGGAAAATTGAATTTGGTATAACAATATAGCTGTATCAGGACTGATTATTTGCTTGCTTATCCAGAATTTTTCCTCCAAAAGCATCCAATACCATGTGCTTCAGAAGAATATTTCAAGAAATGCTACATGAAAAAATAACAAAGTAAATTGTTCCAGGAGGTTTCCTTGTAGTCCTCATCTACTACAGTTTTTCCCTGCATGACCGCAGACTCATTTTATATGAGTTGCATTCTTATCCTTTACTGTTCTGCCACATGACTAACAAAATTTCCAGGATTTTCAATAGGACCAGGAGCCTCATTCCACTAACAGCACAAGTACAGATACTACAGACAAATCAGCATCTTTTTGCATTGATTATACATTGGGCAAAATCTCATAAGGAATCAAAAGATATTTCAAAGTATGAAGACACAGCCAGACCCACACCGTTGAGTATCTTGTCATTATGCTGAATAAACACACTGCCTCCAGCAGCCTCCCTTTGCGTGTGGACCAACAGAGAGACAGAAGCTTTGCAAGTTTCTTGTGACATGTCTGCAGTAACAACCCGGCTGGGCAAAACAGAAATGGAAGGATGTGAAGAGTATAAAAGGGAAGTTTGGCTAGCAGAAAGATCCATTACAGACACCTGAAAGGAGGTGTGCTTGGGGTAGTCAAAAATAATACTACCTACACTCCTTTAAATTCAGTAATATGTGGGAGAACAGTGTGGTGCTGGAGAGAAGAAGCAACGGTATGGTCCTTGCAGAACACAGCTTGGGTGATACCATGTCATATTGGGCTTTATGATATATTATTGCAGGAAGACATTTCCTTCCCATTGGATAAAGACTGACATTTTAGTTTAGCATTTAAATGGTATTCAGAGCATTTGTTCAGTGCAAGAAAAGTAGTGCCTTGATAGAGAAAGTAGTGCCTTGATAAAGAATATCCTTCTTTGCACTGTATTTTGGCACCTGTCTACTAAGCACCAGCAAAACCTCTTCAGGTCTCAGTGCTAGCTAGAATGCAGATTAGAACTGGAGGAACTGTACAGTATGGCTATTCTGATGCTTGGCAAGGAATGAGGAAGGGAGTGTTCAAGGACATCTCTTAGTGCCTGGTTTCACCTTTTTGGTTGTTGAAGTAAATTATGTAGGTGCTTTGCCTCCACTTATCCTACATCTCTTGAGATGAATCTTATAAATCCAACCTGCAGCAGTCATGTCACAGGAGAAGCACTTACTAGACTGCAAAGTGGCAAAAGAAGATCAGGTGTTGTACACATACAGGACAATATTTCAAGACCTATGTTCCACGTAGAGGTTGATTAGAGTAGCTTTTACAGAGCATTTGTTATTGTAGTGTCCTCACCTCTGAAGATCTTTTTAGAAGGTTAGACAAAGGTGTCAGGGGTGACAGAGAAATTCTGCCTTGGGAAGGAGGATGAGCTACATGACTTCTGACCTCTTTGAGCATGACAATTATGTGCTGTGTTTCTGTGAACACAGTCACAGATACCATTTTTTCTGTCAGATGGTATTTTGTGTCAGGGGAATTATACACTGGGGAAACAACCCTCCAATGTTCCAGATTACTCACCAATTAAGTACTTGAAGGCAGGAATTGCACCAGCTCCACTGACTGCAATTTTGCTGAACATAGGAAAGGAGGCACTGTAAGTCTTTCGTGCAAAACTCTCGATTTCTTTGTTAGTGTCTGGTTCTTGCTGCCCAAACTGATTGCATGGGAATGCCAGCACGTTAAAATGATATGGACCGAGGTCTCTCTGTAACTGTTGTAAGGCCTTGTAGTGGCTATCTGTATACCCACACTCGCTCGCAACGTTGACGACAAGTGACACCTGAAGAATAAGAGAGATTAAAAAATGTGCTGCACATGTCAGTTTTCCAACAAGTAGGCTGGGATGCAGATTATTTTCAAAAAATGAGAATGTCTAGAGAACTGTGACTGAACACTTATGTTGAAACTACATCAAGTTCTGTTCACAACCAGATTTCATATTTCTTTTATGTATTCCCATATGGCAACCATGAAGATAATCAATAAACTGCTAAACAATCTTAATTCTCAGTTTACAGGGCATCCATGTTTCTCCATTCTGCCTTTTGGAGAGTTACTGAGCATATTTAAGAAATGACCATCCAGCTAAGGTATACCAAGATGCTTGAAAGAAGATTGCAAGTTAAGGTATTTTTGGTAGTTCATTTATCTGTAGTGAAGCATCTGTTCTGTGGCATCTTTTCTTGTACAGAATTTAGCACTCATACAGAACTGCCTGATCCATTTATCATTGCTGGTGTAGATGTCTTGATATAGAAGTTAACAGAAGCAATCACAGAGGTTTGGGTTGGTCTATGCAGTATGGACTGTAAAATTTCCCCCCATGTCTAGAGTAAGTCTACTTAGTTGGGACAAAGTGACAACAGATTTTGCATAAAGGTTTACTACCTCAATTAGAGATTCCTAGAAGTGAAGACTGTGACCACTATCCTTTAAAGAGTTATTCCTGTAGCTGATCATCTTTGATGTTGTGTGCATTGTGTCATTCAGACATTGCTGCCAGGCATATATCTGCCTGTGCAGATCCAGCAGAGAGGAAGATGCCAAATACAGATGAACACCACAGGAAAATAAAGGCATGTGTAAGGAGAATACATGGTTGAATAGATTATACCAATAATTTGTTGGGGAAATTAAGTGACCTAACCCTGAGCTGACACATATTACACAGTTTCTCAAGGCCATGAAGAGCCTTCCATTGGGTTTTGAGATAATTTATCCTTAAATAACTTCTAGATTTTATTTTTAGACTTACAGTTTTTATTATTCTTACGAACTTTTTGAGTTATCACTCATTCTACGTAAATTGAGTCCATTCTAATGTTTTCTTGAGAGTGGATTAAAGCTGAATATCATAGATCCTTTAGATACAACATGATTTTATTGATAAAAATAGTATTGTGCACTTCATAGTGATGGGGTTTTTTACACATAATTACATTCTATTCCTTTTTCCAGACCAATTTGTAAAAGTCATAAGGTAATATTATAATACTAAAAATGTTTCTACCAACCTAAATTAAAATCAGGCATAGTGAAGAAAAAGCATTATGATTTGGGAAATTCTACCTGGTCTACTCTGAATGCAGTGGGTTTCCACAGTTTATACATCAGATCAGAAGCTGGTCCTTCATTCTTAAATTTAAAAAAACCTTTTAATTCAATCAAAATAGCTAACTCATTCCTCAGTGCTAGTACAACAGTAGCTATTCACACTGGATCTTTCTACAAGGGTTTGGAAGTTTCATAGAAGCTGGCACTCTAGTTTCATTGTTCTCAGTGTGAGACAGCAGCGCTGAAAGGCCCAGTGCTGCAAGAGGAAAGCCTGAAGCTTGGACACGTTAATTGACCTGATCAAATTACACAGCCAGTAGCTGCAGGGCAAGAAAAGGAAGTAAAAAATCGTGACTCCAGGTCTCATACTCGTGTGTGTGTGACCACTGGCTGGTTTAAAAGTTTAAACTTTGGATTCTAATGTTACTATTGTTCCATATTCCTATCTGAATGTTTTTATACAAAATACAAAAGTATATAGGAAATATGAATAGAGTGCATCAAATAAATTATAATAAATGAAAATTCTATTACTACATGTGTATAGCGTTTTAAGGCCAGAAAACAAACTGGCAATAAAAGCCCACAATCTGGGTAAGGTATGGGATAATAGGATGAAACCCCTAGAAGGGGTAGGAATGAGTAAAGAAAAAGCTAAGGGGATGTTGGTGTTTATAATTTCTTCTATTAAACATTAACACTTACTCTGTATTTTGTACCTATTATAGGTATATGGCTATATTTAAAGTGGTTTTGGAGCGGCACTGTTTTCCCTGGAAGACAGGTAATCTTATAAAGCAGAAGTTGATGTCATCTTCTTTGTGGTGTATGTGTCAACAGAATACAATCTAAGTAATCCCTGTACACTTGCGTATGAAATATGATCTGGAGCCATCTAGCAAACTTCCAAAGCATCACATTCACTCAGACTATGTTTACAAGCTCTACCTGAAATTTTAAATTCAATCTCCTAAAACATCCAAAGATACGGCTTATAATTAGGGGGTGGTGTTTTTTTTCAGAGAAAAGGTAATAATTTTATGATGCATTCCTGTTGCAGACTGTCAGCATTTCAAATAGAATTTATATATTGGATGTTAAAAATAACTATTGGCAGTTCTGTTCTTTTTAAATAAGCTGTATATACCAAGCATAGTGACCACTGTAGTTTAGTATGACTGAAGTCAAGATAAATTGTAACACTAGGAGTTGAGGTCACATGTGGTTCTTTTGTATGAAATTCTAGAGGGTTTTTTAAGTACAGTTTAAGACTCAGCGTTCTTATGATGGAGAAGTAGGCATAGACCTTTCTGTATTCATAGCTATTAGTATTTTATCCCAAATACAATGGTAATGTAAGAATTTATTGTTGGAGGTTTGGGGGAAATAAGGTTGTGTAGGTATTATGTACACATTATAGCAGATAAGGAAGATGACTTGCCAATGAGCTTCTGCTTGGTTTTGAAGTTAGGAGGGCTTGAAAGAGTTCACTCACAAAGAAACAACAATTTTAATTTACAGCTGTGATTACTGGACATGGTGGTGCAAGGCATGAGAGCTCACGCTGCAAATGGTGCAATCCTCCAAATGTTCTCCCACAAAATAGGAGGAAACTACACACAGCATTTCTTAGAATAGCAGATGCATTCTGCTTTTTTCCTTAGAAAAATTAATTCTATTACTGAACTCCATAATTTAATAGTGCAAACCTCCTAAAAGTATAAGTAATGCATATAATAAAAAAACTTTCAGGATTTATTAGAATTTCATAAGGAATGTTTAAAATGATTGTTTAAAAGTCTTTACCAAGTTATCTTTCAAGTGTCTGGTACCAGAAGTGATTAAATCTGGTGATATTTTTTTGGTCCGTATTTTATTTTTAATAAATAACAGTAATTCTTTTTGTTCTCATGAAGAGGCTGTACTTTGACTTCTTACAACTATTAGTGATTTAAATTAAGTTCAATATGCCTCTTGACTGATTGTAGGCTCTGAGAGTGCTAGTCAAGTACACCACCTAGTGTGCAGTGCAAACAATTCATCCTGGACCTTACAAAAATTGTTTCATTTAAGCTCAATTCTGTATTAACTGTTGTCTAACCTCATAATACTATCCTTCCCTTCCCTTTGCTTAGAAAACCCATGCTTTCTAGTATTTATTTAACATTGCAAAAATAGTTCTGAGTTTACTTGATGTTTACACCAGTGTATCTCCTTGAGGAAAACATCCCTCAAGAGATGTATTAATCCGCTGTCAGCTTCAAGTAACCCTTTGTGGGGTTTTTAGCAGTGACAGTAGATACTTGGGTTTTTAGACCTAGAGATTCTTCACTGAATCCATCTGACTGATGGAAGAACCAGCCACAAGTGTCAGATTACACTGAGCTGTGGGAAAAAATTGCAATACTTCATAGAGTAACTAAGCAGCTATACTCTGTATTTATATGCATTCAGTAATATTACAATCTCGGATTGCAGAGAGCTGTGATGCAAAGTGCCTAGCATTACTTTCAATAGTAAAATAATACTTTACGTTGTTATAGTGCCTAATGCTTTTATAGCACCTTTGGTTCGAGATTTCCAAAGACTGCTTAATTACACCTCAGCACACTGTACTTAGCTGTGTGGTAGGTAGGCAGGCAGCTACTATGTAGAGAGGTATAAACACAGCATGGAACATTTGATACCTGGGAGTTCTGACTCCCAAATAGATACTATTTTTGGTAAGAATACTGCCTGTTACAGCAGAAAACTAATCTTATTTGATTCTTTTCCAACCATGCATCACTGCCCTTCATTTTTAACGTAGATGGGTCAACATCAGTATGGTAACCTGGAAAAATCATAGGACTATGGCCGCCTTGTGCAATACAGTAAAGCAGACAGCTTTTTGATCTGTTTCACTTGTGGTATCCTTTTTTTCAGTTGGAATAGTCCTCCCTTTCTTTGCTTTCAGGTAGATGTAATATGATACCTGATTTTGTAGCATGTATGCCAAATTTTTAGCATTCTGGCAGTATTTCTTATGCCTCCATAAAAAGAGAGTACTCCCTCACGTATTTTTGGTATTTTTGTTACAGTGGAGGATGAGTTATGTCTGTGCACATTTATTCCAGAAAAAAATAAGTCAGTTTCCTAATTTTTTCATTTTTATTATCTCAGAATTGTTAGTACATTTCTTAATGGAGGATACTTGTGACTTGTATCAAGGCGCACTTGAATGGAAATTGAGTTAGTATCAATCAGTCATTTTTTTCCTACTAAGAAAAATTGTTTAAATGATCTGAATACAGAATAATTTATATTAATAATGAGTTATTGAAGAAAGATTCTGCAAGTCATGAATTGCACTGATTGTTTATAATTAGCATGGCTCTTGTGTTTTTAGTATAATCAGAATTAATTTTTTTTATTAATACTCTAGAACCTTCTGGATTTTTTCAATTCCCAATTAGTTTCTTAAGTACCAATTAAGTAATAATTTAATTAAACTAGCAGGCTTGTTCCAGGGGCTAACTAGTGACTCACTTTCTCTAAAACACCAGCAGTACATACGTAGTACTTATATACTATTTGCTTTCTTTAAATAGCTTTAAAATATGATAAACCTACAATTTAAGATTACTTATCTAACTGAAGATTTAAGCAGGTTTATTTTAAGAAATAAATGAGTTTTTATTAACTTTTCTCTACCTTGATATTGAGTTCTGACAACATAGCGACAGAAAGGGATGTGTTTCATTGCTATAATTTTCTTTAAAATTGTGCCCGTGCATTATTAAACAGCTAGGTTGATCATTACTAGACTTTCTGATACAGAAGCTGTTCATCACTTTTTTGGAATAAACTATTCTGGATGGCCTAGCAGAGATGAGGGAGTACCATTCACTGATGGCATTATCTTTTCCAAGGCACGGCTCTAGAGCTCTCCCCTTATGAAAGCAGTCACGCCTGGAGCATGGCCTGCTATCGGAGCACTGCTGGAGATACAGACATGCTCCCCTGCGCTGCTGTGTTCATGAGATACCAGGGCAGGCTCTGCAGCTTGTTATGGAGGGGATGAACACCCACAGCCCTCTGCAGGGTGGCTGTAAGGAATTCATCTGAGTTCCCCCTTTACTCCTTTCCATGTGGATTCTGGCCCTGAGGTAGAGAAGCTACCAGTGGTATTGCTTATTCAGACAGATTTGCAGATGAACTGCAGACAAAACATGCCCCAGTAACAGGATTTATTGACAGAGCTTTTGGATGGAACTCCTAAAAAAAAGCAAATATTGCTTAATATTAAATAGGTTCCATGTTTTTTCCAATATAGATATTTGAGAGTGCATTGGACCAGTTCTGCTCTATCTGAATTGTGAATGGATAGGGAGGAGGACTTTGACCAGGTAAGATTCAGACCTCTCATTTGGTCCAAATCCACCAGTATCCCTTTCTACTGAGCTCAGGAAAATGGACATCTTCTCCCATATACCTTCTCTGTCTTCCTGACAATGTTTTAGTGACCTGCTGATGTAGATTAGTGAGCTCAAACACCCAAGAAAGGGAAAAAGGAAGGTGGACACACAAAGGTGGAGACTAATGGTGAAAGCAAGAAGTGGTGCCTGCCTTTTTGGGCAGCTGCTAAGCTACTGAACTGCCTGGCACTACCACAGATGATGTGTCACTTGAGCACTAAGGGTGTCAGCTGTGGGCTTTATTCAAGCTTCTCTAATTTGTGCATGTGGCTATGAGAGCTTATAGTATGACGTCTTCTATGTACTAACTTCTTCCACAGGTACTGACCATCTTTCCTAGATGGTCAAACCACTAACAAAAAAAAAAAAATCGGATTACATTCAAGGAAATTTTTACTAAAATGGAAAGCTGTGCTTAGAACTCCTTAATGCAATATGTAAATTTAAAAAACATCATAAAAGTATACATATGTCCACACGCTCATCTTCATATTGCTCTGTCACACTCAAAAGTGACACGGGGAGTAGCATGATGTTGCTACAATTTCCATATACAGTGATATTTAAATAATTACTTTGACATAGCTCTCACTTTTTTACTAATTATGGTGAAATCTATTAACTCCATCAGCCACTGACTAAATCTCATCTTTTTTCTTAATGCATAACATTAAGAAGGGATGGGACTTAGGCAAAAATAATTTACTAAAAGGCATGCAGTTAAAAGGCAGAAATGAGCTCTAAAAGTTACACAAGGCTACAAACTTCCTGAGCTTCAAATTCAGTAGGGACAACCCAGTGCAATCCATCCTGCTGAACGAAAGGCAGGCAGGCAGGCATTCCCTGCCTGCCACGTCTACAGGCAGCAGCCTGCACAAGGAAAAGACGCGGACACACACCGAGGTTAGACTGCAAACGTTTTATTTAAGGAGTGCAAAGACCTACGGATCGGTATCAAAGGAAGCATGCAGGCGACACTCCAGATCAGTTAAAGACGAGTCGTAAAGCCAAATCTATCTGCATGCGTGCACCAAGTTAATGTACAATCTCTCCACCCCCACTTGGTTTCTGCAGACATGCAAGGACTGGCTGGTTAGGGAGTCTGGGCGAGAGCTGCCCATCTCCGTGCAGACTTACCGAGCCCCTGTATTTCTCCAGAGAGACTAGTTTGCCCCTGATGTTTACAACTTTGAAAGTGTAAAAATCAGGCTCTTTCTGCTGCGTAGCGGAGAATGCTAAGAGCAGGAGTGCTGCAATTGCAAGGAGCATGGCTAGAGGGATGAGGAGAACTTTGGGGAAGGAAGAGGAAGATTTGTGCTCCACACTGCCCTCAGGATCTAGCATGCTGCACGGCCGCGCTGCAGAGCCACTTGCCACGATAGGAAAGCGCTGCCGCAAAGAAAGGGACTGCTGCAAACCGGGCTTTTGCAACAGTCTGGCTTCTGCAGAGCTGTGTCCAGAGCAGACCTCGGGGAGATGTATTTCGGGAGGATTCAAATATACGAAAATGGAGGGTTTCATGGTGGTAGTGGAGTATTAAGTAAGGCCAGTAATGCCGTATGTGTCCGTGGGATACCAGTCAGATTTGGAGATTTGCTTTAACTACATCCTAGGAAAATAAGGGATAGAATTATTGTGATATTTGATGGATTTGCAAGTGCCTTTTTTAGTACACTAACTATAGCACTTACTAATTACGGCGTAATGTCAAAGGATACTAGTGGCTTGGTTGCTAATGGTTACTGATGCAAGTGCTCTGAGCAAGAGTCATCGCATACAGTCTGCAAAAACAGAATTACAAACATGCCGTGCACAGGATCGTGTGAAATGGAGCACCATTAGCCAGGCCTTCAGGAAATTTGTGTCTGCATGTACCTGGTTGGTGAGAAGTGACTGACCAGACCACTGGTCTTCAGTGTGATCTGGGAGAAACCACATTACCAAAGGCTTTTTAAGCAAGAAAGAGGCATTAAGCATCAGGAACTGAATCTGGTACCAAAGCTTTCAGATACACACAGCCAAAACACTGCGTCAGTGCACTGATGCCATTCTTGGGTTGTCTGCAAGAAAAAAATAGTCATTTATACACTTTGCTACTATGTCTGCTGGAAGAAAAAGATTTTTATATATAAAGTAACAACAATAGAAAGCATTTGATGGTCAATGATTACTTCTTGGACTGAGAAACTGGTCCTCTATGCCCATGATTCTGATAATTCTTTCTGGCAAAGAAAAGCAAAATGTAGCGACTTACAGAAAACAATTAAGTAACACATCCAAGGCATATTGGAAATCTATCTTCTGAAGAGCAAATTACATTTTATAATTTCACTTCATGATTTTATTTTTCTTTAACTGAGTTTCAGTAGATCTTTGACATCTTGATTAAATTTGGTTAGGTAATTCGAGCATAAGTGGCATTACTGTAAGTGAAAGAAGCCATGGATAACTAGTTGAAAATTTTAATTATAGTTTTTAAACATTTCAGATGTTTCATGTTTTTATATATTTCAGCTTAAGTAGACATCCAGCATCAAGAAATAATGCAACATGCTACAAAAATTTATAGATGGCAAATCTTCTACCATGCTGTCTATGAGGAAGATACACTGTGCTAATAATCTGAAGTTTTCATCTTCACAGATAAGTGCTCTCTTTGTGTATACTTTCCTGGCTGTAGTATTGACAAGAACCTTTCCTTTAGAGGACAGTTAAGTATGATTTCCTCATTTTATAAATAAATTATCTAAGAAGCTTTAGAGTTTCTTCAGACACTACTGGAGACAGAGAAGAGGGCTTTAATATAGTATATACATCTAAATAAATTTAAAAAACCAATAAATCCTAAAAATAATTTAAAAAAAATAATTCCAACAATTAGAATAATTCAACAGAAGCATTTTCTTGGCCAGAAATGGAACAGAAATCTACAATATGCTTTTTCATTTTTTGAGGCATGATGTCATAGTATTTTGGGTATGGGACTAAAACTGAGGCATCATCCTGCAACATGAGACAAGCAAGGTTTTGCTCTGGAAAGGGACTTTATAAAATCTGCTTCCTACAGCTTTATGATTATTGTCTCTGATTTCTAGATAAAATTTAGTGGCTTTCAGAATTATATTTTCTCCTACAAATCGAGCCCAGAATCTGAAAGTTTTTGATCACTGGCACATAATTGGGAATTCTTTAAATAATGGCCAGCTGGCAGTAGAATTCAGCTTCCTCTTTTACTGCCATGTTTCTATATTGCTCCCTGCAATAAAATATTCTTTAACATCAGCAGAGAGGGAAGAATTGTTTCTGAATACACAGAGAGACTGTTGGCTTTATAATGATTCAAGTTTTCAGAGCCAAACTGCACTAACATTTCATATTCATGCCTATCCAACTATTTGAAATAAATCTGATCTATTCTAATAAATTTCAACTTGCAGGAAAAATGCCAGTCAGGTTTGCAAACTGATGTGTGTTTGCTTGCTAGCATGTCTAAATGTTGATCTAGGAGGACTGTACCCAGTAGCAAGTATAATTTAGTTACTTTTGCAATTTACTCTTTGGCCTACTAAACCTAATAAAAATCTTTGTCAAATAGGACTGGACTGAAAGCACCACCCAGCTAACCTCAGCTGTCCCCAAACAGCATTGCAGCACCGTGATTTCTGGCACTGCTGACCTGGACTGGATTGGCCTGTGTTCCTAAAGGTGAAAGCGCTGTATCCCATTAGCAATACCCTGAGCTATCCAATCCTCATTTCATAAAATGTGAACTGCAAGCAAACTACAAAAAAAGCAGATTAACTCTAAGGATCCCACTGACTTCACAATACATTCAGAAGTACATCTTGCCAGTATTTATAAAATCCAGTACTATAGCTTTTGCAACTTTTGTTTACCTCCATAGACTGAGGTAGTGTTTCCAGCACTACTATTCACATTATTTTTAATACTTTCCTTTGAACACTTTCAGTAGTTCAACATTAATCTTTTACGTGCCTTGTTTCTCTGGAAAGGCCCCCTTGCCTGGGCTAGGAGGTGCCAACAGCATGACATTTCACTGCCAAGAAGCGGTAGTACCATACTGGATCACAGAGAGATTTGCCTTACACAAGCACTTGCCAGTTTCTTTAGGTCACCCTCCAGCACTGCCAAGAGCCAAGCAAGTCGGCTTTTCTCCCCTGGGACCACAAAACTGCCAGCAGACACGCTGGCCAAGCCGGCGGCCCCAGCTGCAGCCGAGGCCAGCCTCATAGCCAAGGTCAGGGAGCCAGGAGCCATTTCTCCCCAGTGTCCCAGCTCACCCCAGGCTGCTTTGTGTGGAGCACACCCGCCCTCCTCCGCCGAACGGCAGGGTCGGGAGGAGGGGGAGGAAGCCCTGAGGAAGTGTGTGTGTGGGGGGGAACAAGGCCCAGGCTGCAGCGTGGGGCTGACCCCTCAAGCGGGCCCTACCCCTGCCCACAGGGCCTGGGGCCTAGCGTGCGTGGGGATAGGCCTGGGATGAAAAATGGGGGGAAAAATGGGAAAAACTAGGGTGGCTGTGGGGGGGGG